TTAAACAGGGCTTTCAAGCCCAATTCTTCACATCCGACCCTTATTCTCGGCTCTAAAAATAGATCGCTACCAGCAAATCAAATCAAATTGTATCTAAAAATAGATCGCTTTGAGCTAACTAAAGTTGTTACCCAACTACCGCTACCCTCTGCCCTAACCTCAATGAAGAATAATGCCTAACTCAGATAAAATTGTTATCTAAAATATTTTTTAAATATTATATTATTATTATACATGTTTAAATCATTATTAAAAAATATTATTTAATATTATTATATAAGTATTAATTATTTTTGGGTTGTTTATTCCTTGACTTCTGTAATGTATCCTTTAAGTTTAGTATTATATAAAACATTTTTCATTTTTTTCTTGCTTATTACCAGAGCCCTATCTTTTTCCCCTCTCCCCTCTCGTCTCTATTTCCAATGCACAAGAAATTTGCCACGCGTTGTGATTTTTAAACAATCACACCTTTCCATCCCATGATTTGACGTGCAAGAATTTCAAGGTTGGAAAAGCAACTTTCTTTTTTCACTTTTCTTGTTGCTCATCCGCACTTTGTTTCAGCTTCGCGGTTTTTTTTGTTCTGTTCTGTTATTCTGCGCTGGTTTTGCACCTTTTCCTGTTCTTATTCACAGGAACCCCCCCGCAGTGTTTGCAATATTTCTTTCCGGGCTTTGCTTCTTCATTTGGTTATTTATTCAATAGAAAAATTTCAGATTACTCAACCTATTTCTGTTCTATTAATTGATCTTAACTATAACTCATGAATCGAAAGTATATAGGCATGATTTTTTGAAAGGGAAAAAACTTTGGTGATATATTACTGGAAATATCACACATCTTATTCAATTCTCTGAAGATGCCCAACAATTTATTAATAGATTACATGATTGGGACAGTAAAAATAATTAAAGTATAACATGTTTTCAAAATATTTTTACTACCAGTATTTATCAACAGTTTGAGTGTTTTGAAATTACTAAGGAGGTGTGGGATCACCTCTCTAATAGGTATACCTCTTTGGATTTATCTAATCAACACCATTAGTAGAAGAACTTGGCTACTCAAAAAATGGAGAAAGGTCAGCTGCTACTTGAATTTCTTTTTAAGATGAAAACTATTTGGGATCACTTAGCCTTTTCTGAGCCTACATTTAAAAATGATGAGAATGTTAAAGCCTTTCTCGAATGGTGAGACCAACTTTGTCTCACAGAATTCTTAATGGTCCTTATTGATGATTTTGAGCCTATTCATGCCTCTTTGCTCCACCAGAGCCCACTTTTAACTTTTGAAGATGCTCTTTCTTGTCTTCGTTCTAAAGAAGCTCGTTTGGGCCTTCTTTAGTTATCTCTTGACATGGCTTTCGTTGCTCTCGGAAGGAACTCTAAGCTTTGTCATCATTGCCCTCAACCTACTCATACTTTTGATCAATGTCCATATATCGAATGTAGAACTTGCCAAAAGACGGGACATCTTGGTACGAACTATCCTTCTTTGACTTGTCATTATTAAAGATACCTGGGCATCTCATTGATTAGTGCCCTACTAGTCCTCCTAAACCTAATCAGAGGAGGTCATTCAGGTCTAGTTCCTCGTCATCTAAGCATGCTTTTATTGATGAGCCACCTATTCCTGTTGCTTCCACTTTAGGATCATCCACCACTGCTAAACTTAAGTATTTACTCCGCAAGATTATCTCCAGTTCTTCCAGTCCACTCGCTGCCTTAGCCATACCTTTAGGTATATCTTTTTAGTATTTTGATCCTACCTGTTGTAATCATATGATCAGTCAAAAACACTTTTTCTCTTTTATGTCACCCCATAGTATGGCTTACCCCATCTATACTTGTCGCACTCAAAAAATGTGACATGGACGGTGTGCGAGCGGAGGTTTTGGCCTGGGATGAAACGGGAGTTACCACCAAAATTTTGAAAAAAATCTTGGAAAACCAATTAAAAGAAATAAGGATGGTCCACGAAAATAAAAAATAAGTTTGGGAGTCGATTGAGTGTAGGAAAAGTGTTAGGCACCCCACAACACCCATTCGTGAGAATAGTTACTTGAAGTTTGTTGTGCTAAATTAATATGGTTTTAAAGTTATTTTAATTATCTCTTTTATATTCATATGTTTGATATAAAAATGATAAGAATTAAGTAAGAAATATTTATTTATTTACGAGGAAGGACTTGACTCAGAATCAAATTCTGAGGCTTACGTACCCTGCAATGAGGATCAAAGTCCACGTAGTTCAAGTTTAAAAACTTATTGGTGAAAATATTTTTGAAGAGAAATTAATTAAAAATAATTCACCATTTTACAAATAAAATAATTTTTGAAATTTTGACGTGTGTGTTTTAAATTGTAAAAAGTAATTTAATTTCAATTATTTTCTTAATTTTTGAATTTTTGAAATAAAGAAAAGAAAAGAGTTTAAAAATTATTTTTTTATATTTTATGATTGATAATTTAATCACAATATCTGTAAAGTTTTATTAGCTCATACAGTAATACAATTATTCTATATATTTGTGTAGATTTTAAAATTTCACACGATAAAAGAGTTTAATAACTTAGTTTATTTTTTTAAGCATATGTGTACATATACACTTTTTTTTTCAAAAAATCTTAATTATCATACCTGTAAAACTTTATTAACTTATACGGTAATATGATTATCCTAAATATCTGTGGAGATTCCAAAATCTCACACGATAAAAGAATTAAATTTATTTAAATATATTTTTATTAATTTACTAGATTTATTATGTATGTATATAATTTACATATTTCTTTTTTTAAAACTTAATCGCTATATCTACAGAGTCTTATTGACTCATATAATAATATGATTATCTTAGAAGTCTACGGAGATTTAAAAATCTCACATGACTAAAAGATATAATCGGTAAATATGATTACAATTTAAATTTATTAATTTAATTAATTAATATTATAAAAAATATTTATTATTTTATTTACAAAAATTTGTTTATTTATTTACCATATGGATTGAGAATCACAATATCTGCGAGGATATATTATCCTACATAATGATGTAATTAATTTAAGTCTCTACGAAGATTCTTGAAATCTCACATGAGACTTAAATATTTATTATAAAAAGAGAATTAATTTTAATAATGAACCTTTTGAATTCATATAAATATATACAAGATTGATCCTCATATTTGTGAAATCTTATTGATTTACACGGTATGAGATCATTTAAAATGCCTGTGAAAATTCTCAAAATCTCATACAAAAAACTTTAAAAATTGATATTTGTGATTAGCATTAGGGCATAAAAGAGTACGTATGTTCAAGAATCATTTATTTAAATATAAAATTCACAGAAGCAATTAATAAGGAGTAAAACCATTTCTACTTCTGACTAGGCTATGTTACCTTAAACACTTGGCTTAATGCTTCAATGATATTCAAAAGGAAGCAGTATTAAATAATATGAAGCAGCAATGTTATTTCATTAAAATAGGAACACCAAATATGTAAGTCATGCAGCAATTACAGTATTATTCTCACAAGGAAAGCTTCTAATTTTTTCAAAAATAATCAACACGTCCCTTTAATAAAATAAGAAGAAGCAACCTGGTCTATACATTTTTTGTTAGTACCAATATGAATCTAAATCCAATTTCAATCTATGTCACAAATCACTCATAGCTTAGGGCACAAACAAAATGAAAATTTGTTTAAAGCTAAATTAAACTAATTGGAACAATAAATAGAACCTCACTTAAACTATATGGAGAAAAACAATGAACCATTGTATTAATTACATATTATGATATGTAAGAATAGTAAGATCAAAGAAACACCCAATCATCTAAAACTCATCATAACTTATAAAGACCTAAGAAATTTAAGCTGACTAAATCATATATCAATCTCACTCAATATGTAGATAGCAATTAAATAGAAATATGACAATTCGAGGGCTAAGAGCTAAACCTTTAATGATCAAATTTTATATTCCCAAAAAGATGAAAGAACAGGAAATGCAGATTACCAGCCAATTAAAATAATGAATGAAGCCAACAATTCTCATCACAATGAACCTAGTATCAGTTCCATCCTTGGTGGAATCACCATTCCCCCTTGTCCACCATCAGAGAGTAGGAAAACAACAACAACAACAACAACAAGCCTTTATTCCACTAGGTGGGGTCGGCTACATGGATTGCAAGACGCCATTGTGCTCTATCATTTATCAAGCTTTTAGGAATATTATTAATTAAGAGATCGCGTTCAACAACTTTCAAGAGTGTTCTCTTAGGCCTTCCTCTACCTCTCTTAATCGAACTCAAAGTTATATGTTCCACTCTTCTCACTGGTGCCTCCCTTGGTCTTCTTTGTACATGCCCAAACCATCTCAACCAATTTTCTACCATTTTTTCCTCAATAGGTGTCACCCTCACTTTTTTGCGTACGTCCTCATTTCGAATTTTATCTTTACGTGTATGTCCGCACATCCATCATAACATTCTCATCTCTACTACTCCAACTTTATGCTCTTGCTGTCCCATTAGAGCCCAGCATTCACTACTATATAACATTGCCGGTCTGATAGCAATGCGATAAAACTTTCGTTTAAGTTTATTAGGCACCTTACGGTCACAAATAACTCCTTTAGCTTTTCTCCAATTAAACCACCCAGCTTGAATTTTATGTGAAATATCTCCACTAATTTCGCCATCATTTTGAATAATGGCTCTCAAATATCTAAACTTTTCCACTTGAGGTATAATTTGATCTCCTAATTTCACTTCCAAATTATTGTTATATAGTCCTTTACCAAATTTACAATATAAATATTCCGTCTTACTTCTACTCAGACGAAAACCTTTTAACTCCAATGTCCTCCTCCATAACTCAAGTTTGCAATTAACCTCTTCTCTTGTCTCTGCTATAAGAACTATATCATCCGCGAAGAGTATACATTTCAGGATTTCCTCTTGAATATGTTCCGTCAAAACATTTAAAATCAAGTTGAACAAATGAGGACTCAGAGATGATCCCTGATGTAGTCCAATCTTTATAGGAAAATCCTTTGTTTGACCACTAGGCATTCTTATACTAGTTTTTACCCCCTCATACATATCTTGTATGGCTTTAATATAAGCAATCCGTACTCCCTTTTTTTCCAACGCTTTCCAAAGCACTTCTCTTGGTATACGGTCATAAGCTTTTTCCAAATCAATAAAAACCATGTGTAGATCTTTATCTTTACAACGATACTTTTTCATTAATCCCCTTAATAGATAAATCGCCTCTGTAGTTGATCTACCTGGCATAAAACCAAATTGATTCTCAGAAATACTTGTCTCCAATCTCAACCTGTGCTCAATTACTTTCTCCCACAATTTCATTGTGTGGCTCATGAGTTTAATCCCTCTATAGTTAGTACAATTCTGAATATCTCCTTTATTTTTATAAATAGGAATTAATGTACTTCTCCTTCACTCATCAGGCATTTTCTTGAACCGTAAAATCACATTAAATAACTTTGTTAACCATCTCACCCCTTCTTCACCTAAACATTTCCATGCTTCGATAGATATACAATCAGGTCCGTTAGCTCTACCATTTACCATTTTCTTAAGAGCTTCCTTTACCTCCTTATCACGTATTATTCGATAGAATGACAAATTTTGTTCTCCTTCACCAGTTACTAAATCCTCCAAGTTACTAGATGAATCCTCTCCATCATTGAAAAGTTTAGAAAAGTAAGTCTTCCATCTATTTTTAATTTCATCATCTGTAACTAAAATTCTTCCCTCTTCATCCTTAATACACCTTACCTGTTCTATATCTCTTGATTTTCTTTCCCTACTCTTGGCAATCTTATAAATATTTTGCTCTCCTTCCTTCGTCTCAAGGTTCTTATAAAATTCTTCAAAAGCTTTAAAACGAGCTTCACCCACAGCTCTCTTAGTTTCCTTCTTAGCCATACGGTACCTCTCTCAATTTTTCTCATTGTTACACAAATGTATGGCTTTAAAACAGTTCTTTTTATATTTAATTTTGTCCTGTACACTATTATTTCACCACCAAGACTCCTTATCTCTCGGACCAGAACCTTTCGATTCTCCCAAAACTACTTTTGCAACCTCCCGTATCTTTTTAGCCATATCCTCCCATATGATGTTAGCACTTCCCTGAGATTCTCAAATTCCTTTATCCAAAAGATTTCGCTTGAAAATATCTTGCTTCTCACCTTTTAATTGCCACCACTTAATCCTTGGTGTTACTACTTGTCGACGTTTTTGGATTTTACTCATAATACACACATCAAGGATTAGGACCCTATGTTGTGTCATTACAGCATCTTCGGGGATCACTTTATAATTTTTACAAAGTCTTCTATCTGTGTTCCTAACCAAAAGAAAATCAATCTGTGACCTTGAGGCTCCACTTTTGTAAGTGATGAGATGCTCATCTCTCTTCTTGAAACAAGTGTTGGCAATCTTAAAATCATACGCCAATAAGAAATCAAGAAGAGTTTGTCCTTCATTGTTAAGCTCTCCAAAACCAAAACCACCATGCACCCTTGCATACTGACCAGCTTCCCTCCCGACATGCCCATTAAAGTCTCCTCCAATAAAAATCTTTTCACTCTGTGGTATATGTCGAATCAACCCCTCCAGATCCTCCCAAAATAATTCCTTAAGACTGGCTTATGTCCCGACTTGCAGCGCATAAGTGCTAATAATATTAACAGTCTCACGTCCAATTATCATTTTTAAGAAAATAATTCTGTCTCCAATTCTGCTAACTTCTACAACGTTCTTCTTCCACTCCTTATCTATAATGATGCCTCCTCCATTGCGTGCACTTACTTTTCCTGTATACCAAAGTTTGAAACCTTGAATATCCTTAGCTTCTTCTCCACGCCATTTTGTTTCTTGCAGGCAAAGGATATTGATTTTTCTTTGAATCATAACCCCTACAACCTCTACAGATTTACAATTTAATGTCCTAACATTCCAAGTACCAAATCTAATTTTGCTCTTATGGACTAACTTCTTTAGCCGTGTGCGTCCAGAATGACGCGATAGCCCTTGCTCATTTAACACTACATCCGGGCGCCGATGCAGCGGCTCTAACTCACTTATTACTGTACTCAAGCCATGCAGCGCGTTAATTACGGGCAACGACCTAGCATTAACATTATAACGTCTATTGTCCATATTCATGATAGATTCAACAAAGTTTTACATTGGCTGTTGATGGCCTAACACAACCCTCCTCCTTTACTCGGGCTTGGGACCGGCTATAAACATAGGCAAAGTTATAATATCAGAGACTAGGAAAACTAAAGAAGTAAACATACAAGCCCCGATTACCACAGCAAATGGACCATCAACACCAAAGTGAACCCATTCAAGATGCCAAATTCAAAAAACCAAGCGTAGTGTGAGTCTAAGAGGGGTAAAGTAAAGGTAAAAGGTTTGATGAAACATTACTGCACATACCATTTTTCTCTCGTGGAAGATTGTAGTATCTGTTTTTTGTAAATTGTTAAGTAAATGATAGCCCATGCACGCCTCACCTATATCCCTTGAGCTAAACCATCTTCTCCTTTTCTTTTTCTTTCGGTTCCTCTTCCAGCTGCCACTGCTCTCCCACTCTTGATCTCCTTTCTTTCTCCTACTCTATTTTTTAAATCTCCTCCTTCTCTCAAACTCTCGGTGCTCTCCCTTCCTCACTCAGTCTCTCCTTGCTTCCACCTTCTGCTCCATCACCCTTTTCTTTCTCGAACTTTTTCTCCTTCTCTCTCTCTCATTCTCCATCTCTAGTTTCTCTTCTCTCAGTCTCTTTTTTTTCGTGTTGCTTGCTCTCTCTCTCTCTCTCGCGTTGATTCTAATCCTCTTGTGTCCTTTCCCACTTCACCGTCCCCTGTTCCAGCTGCTCAACTCCTCTTTAAAGTGCTCCACCCCTGTTGTGTGTAGCTCGTTTGTTTGACTTCTGCGCCTATATCCGTGAGCTTCTCTTCTATTCTTTACTTTGTGTGTGGTCAAGTTTGCTCTCTCTCTCTCTCTGTATCCTTCTGTTGTGTGATTGCTGTGTATGTGTTGCATTTTTGCTATATTTTTCTTTCCTTTCGCAACATGTATGTGTTTCCTTTGCAAAGTGAAGCTTTTTTGTTGCCTTCCTCTGTGTTTTTGTCTACTTTTTTGTTGCTCTCTGCTTTACGTGTGGCCAAGTCTACTCTCTCTATGTGTTGTTGTGTTTGTGTATTTCATTTTTATTCTTTTGCAACTGCTTTTTGTGCACATGAGTCTACTCTCGCTTTTCTTCTCTTCATTTGTGCATTTGCTCTTTTGTGTTTCTCTTAATCTCATGCAAAATGCACGTGCTTGGCATTCTGCTTCTTTTCTCATTTCCTCTCTCAATCTCATGCAAAATGCACATTCTATTCCTCTTTTTTTTGTCTATTAACTTCGAGAATTAGATTAAGAGGAAGAAGAAAAAAAAAACTGAAAAACTAATTTTGAGTTAAGCTAAAATATTTCTCTCTTTTTTTTTTGAAAACAACAAGATTTAAGGAAAAAAGAAAAACAAAATTAACTATCAAAAGTTGATTCCCAATATTTTGAATGATTGGGATAATTTGAGAGAGATTTTTAAAGATTTAAGCAAGATTATTTTTTAATTTTGTTATATCATTATTTCTTAAAATATAATCTTAAAAAGGGTTAAATTTTATATATTTTTATAATTTTTTGTTATTTTTTAAATGAACTAAAAGAAATAAGATCCTAATCAATAAAAGATTATCTTAAAACTAAACCTATTAATTAAATATTTTTTATTTTGAAAATATAATCCTAAAAAAGATTAAATTTTATTTTTATATTTTTATATTTTTATATTTTTTGGTTGAATTTATTATTATTTTTATTAAATATAAAATATGCCCAAACAAAATATAGTGTTCACAATACTGCTAAAAAATTCTAAATGCTTGTTAGTCATATTAGCATTGTTTCCTTGCCCTCTCTATCCATTCATGATACTCATTTTGTTCCTATCATTAATTTAATCTCCTATCTATTGAACAATTAGTTGATATGGACTACGATATTTTATTTAACAAACATGGTTGTGTTGTTTCTAATTCTTAGATAGGATAGGTTATCGAGGTTGGACATAAGGTTTGTCAAATGCTTGATCTCAATTCCCTACATCTCCCTCAAGTCACTTCTCTTAGATTGTGTTACCTCTATCTCTACTTTCCTTGATTTATGACATCATCATCTCGCCCATCCTTCTTTAACTACTTTGCGTCCTTTACTTTCTAGCGGACAAGTTGATGTTTAACAATTACAGTAATTAAGTTAACAAGTTATCAAATAGTTCCAGGAAACATAGAAAGTAAATATTTTGATAAGTAACTATATTGAATTACCCAAAAAGCATTATACGTTCGACAAGTAACTGAGTTACAAGTTATCATGTAATGTCAATGAATTAACATGTAAAGATTTTAATAAATAACTATACGTAATTAATGTGTCAAGTCAATAAGATTATTTCATTCATTTTATCTTACATTTTAATTTCAGTTCAAATCCAAATTCCTGTAGTAAAATTTCAAATTTATTTGGAGTTTATTTGCAATAATGTCATATCCTTAATATTTAAATGAAATTCTCCCTAGTTTTTACTTGTCAAATATTTTTTTTTAAATAGGGAGGAATGGCAACACAAAAACATATTACTTATTCACATGCTACACAATACTTTTAAAATTGTTGCAAGATAAAATGTTGTAATGTACATATTTGAAGAATGATCCCCTAAGACGCATTGTATTTTTGGGTAATCACACAATATTATTTTGATCCTTATCATAATTCTTGTTTCAAGCTATCAAAATCCGACACTTTATTCTATGGTGCTTGGATTAACATGAAAAAAAAATTTTCCATGTCAAAGGAATATATGTCACAATTAAATATCATAAAAAGAAAATAGCAAAAATTTCTCATGACATGATTGTTGGAGAGATTTTTTTTTTTGTCATGGGGTTTTTGTGATATTCAAGTTTAATTTCTCATAATTTTTCACACAACGTAGAGCGAAAAATTCTATGAGATATTTGTGGATTTAAACTTTAAGTTGAAGTACAAGTAAGACTAGAACTAATTCTTGTATATTTAATAGCAAGCTTTTAAAACATTGTCTTAACCAAAGGTAAAACAAAGTTGGCTACATTTTTAAAGGAGAATTCAGCAGTCACATTAAATTGATAAGATTTTAACCAATTAAAACTTATTCATAAGAAATGAATGATAATTAATACTTAATTTTAATTTATTTTTATAAATAAAAAATTTGATTTGACAAATAGACAAGAGTTAATATTATTTGTTGTCTTTTTTTTTTTTTAAATTCAAGGCCATGGAGGGACCGTGCAAGAAAGACTAAGGTTTAATCATGTCTAAAGCCATAAGGCTTATACAATCGAGGGCAGGTTGTCGAAGATGAAAATGTCAAAATCATTGTAGGATGTCTTGTAGGTAAGAAGATCAGCACATTTGTTTGCTTTCCTGTAGACATGGTCAAGGTTAACTTCCCATTCTCTCATGATGAGTTATCTGATGTTCTTGATAATCACATAAAATGGATGTGTATTGCGACGGCTGTTGTTAATGAGTGATAAGGCTTCCAAAGAGTTAGAGTAGACATTAATTTTGACAAGATTCTCATTCCAACAAAAGATTGAGCCCTTCTAAAATTCCTAGGAATTCAGCTGCTATATTTGGGCAGTAACCAAGATTTTTATAGAAATCCTTAATCCAATTTTCTTTGTTATCTCTAATAATACCTCCACAGGCAGCAGCACCATTAATAGTAACAAAGCTATCAACATTGAGTCTAACCCAACCAGATTCAGAAGGATTTCATTTAGCTTCATATCTATCATTATTCTTGCTTAATTGGTT